TATTATATATTATATAATATATATATTATATTAAATATATTATTTTCACGTTGATTTAAATATATTATATATTATAATATTATATATTAAATTGATGCGTCATATTATACTGATATTCAATGTCGGTTTCGTGACTTCCCGCGATATGTTTAAAGCATAATAGAAGAGTGATTATCGTTTCTGTACTTGCACAATATTATATTTCTTTTTCTATATGTATATATATATATAAACTTTTAAAATGAAACGATTTTACAAGTATATCATACGTATGTCATACCTTGATAACAGAATTAGTTGCTTGCATCTTTGTCTGTAAGACGAAGCGTACCGTACAACATCATTCAGTGAAATGAATTTTCGCCTTTGAAAAATAGAGAACTGCGCTTGCGCGAGTTCTACCTCACGCTTTCCGTCACGCAGTTTATTCTGCGACAAAAACATCTGTTTACTTTCTTTCTTGTCTCATCGATTACATAATAAATATGCATTCCAGCCAAAGCAATAAGTTGCAAGGGTTACAATTGCATAGGGTATTGTTGCCTATTTTGAGGTGAATTAGAGAATGTTATCTTATTTACATACTATATAAAATAATAGTACATTTGTACGTTACATTGAAAAACCATAGAAAATATTTTATTAGTCAAATAAATGTAACTGAAAAAACTAAAAAAACAAAAAGTGTTTTTCTCTGCATCCGTGTCATACTCGACTCCTCGAACCAGTGGAAACATGATTGATGTAAAAGATCGGTATTTTAGTTTGAATCGAACTCTTTTGCTGGCACTCGGTTTATGGCCTTATGAGATCTCGAATCTTGTCCGATTTCAATTAGGATTTTCTTATATTATTATGATAACTAGTATTATATTTCAGGTGTGTCTTAACAAGAATTTTTATCTTCATAACATTCATTTTAATAAAAATTAGTGGCATGTTTTAAAATATGTGATAATAACAATGAGCACTGTTTACTTCTCAAAAAAAAAAAAAAAACAGCTTACTCCATTTGTGACTTCAAAGTGTACTGTCGATGTTTTACTCATTAATTTGTCCATTACGCCTAGCTTTGTTACCTTTATAATAAAATACAATTCATTTTACGTTAACAGAAAAACGGTAAGTTTTATACTTGATGTACAAAATATTTGATCAATTAGTCATGCACAAGTACTTTACAAGTATTTTACATAGAAACTATTTTTTATGTGTATTATTCTACTTTAAAACACTTGTACTAGTTTGTTGCTATTGATATAGGTAAAGTATTTAATAGAAGAACTTCAATGTATTTGTAATAATCTGAAAGACAATGAAATTGCCATAATAGACAAATATGGAAATATTGGGAAGCGGTACACAGTTGCGCTTACAAGTAAAATGCATCAGTTATAAAAACACTGTAATGTTATACTTTATACGAAAAAAAAAAAAACTATTATACAGCATTTTAAAAGAAATGTCCAATTATATCATTTTAAATAAGTTATATAAATGCATATAAGTATACGTCAAAATTAGTGAACATTAATTATAATTTTTTTCGAATACAGACACACTGTTTTCCTTGAGTTTAATAATTTTAACTGTGTTTGTTTCAATTTGTATATAGTGATTGTTGTTATTAGTTTATCTGGTCTGGTGATCAGTCAGTTGTGCTTGGATCTGACTTACAGTTCTTCATCGGCAAACGTATCACGCCAACAATATCATTTGTTTGTAACAACTGAATATTTTGTCAATCAAGAAAAATATGCGCATTTATTGTTACTCCATATACTTGTAACAATATTCATAGGATTGATTACTATCTTAGCAACGGGAGCAATGCTTATTGTGTTTTTGTACCATGCCTGCGGACTGTTTAAAATTGCTAGGTAAAATAAATATGAATTACAATAACTAAATGTCTCGTAAAATAAAATGATAGAAAATAATCTAAGCTTAATATTTGTTTTATGTATAACAGTTCAATAATACTATGCCGATATTGTGTGCAAATATATTGAACTTATAATAAAATACTAACTGCTTTTATTAGTAAATGCTATTATTATTTTATTAAAAGTTTAAATAACTTTGATAACTATTATAACTGTGTCTTGTATCGAGTAATTTCAGTTATTTATATAAAAAAATATGAATCTTGCATTAAGTTATTTTTACAGCTTCCGTATCAAGCACATCGAAACCTTTCGTAAATCTGACACAATCTTGATACCTAAAACCTCGATACATAAGAATATAATTTGTGCCGTAGATATTCATCGAAAAGCGATGATGTTAGTATTTTTGTTATATACTGTGCTTATTTCCTTCAAATAGCGTCATACCTGTTTCCGTTATGTTCGTTTCTATGTTTGTAACCAAGTCGTAAATATTACGTCCATTTTACTTCCGTCTTGCCAATCTTTTGAGACAATGTGACTTCTTTGTCTCTTATGGAACGTACAAACAACCAAAAAAGTATATGGCATAGTCCAAGTCTACCCGAAGTTTCTCTTCCATATTTTGATTCTTCAAATTTGACGCTATTTAAAGGAAGTATTGTATATGTATAGTTCGTGCAGTAACATTTTCTTTTGTTGAAGGTACGCAAATACTTTAATATCTAACTTTGAGATATCGTTTTTTTTTCTAATCATATGTGGAGTACTTATTTTGAGCTTCAACGTTTTTCGAGTAAGCCGTTTTGTTGCTTGTATGATTGTTAAAGTGACATGAAAACATACTTAAATATAGTTGTGTAGTATGTAACTATGTAAAAAGTGTTATAAATATTGTAACTCATATTGGAAGTAAATTTGCAAAAAAAATAGTTGTTATTACTAACTTTCTGTTTTTTTAGATTTTTGAAAGTTTATCATCGACGTGGAAGATTGATGGACTTTTCTTAATTTCTGTTACAAGTGCAGGTATCGCTATTATATATATGTTCGTGGCTAATATTATGGGTCAGCAAATTATAAACCACAACAATAACGTATATGCAGCTGCGTGAGTAAATTTTGTTTTTTAATTACGTTACTCATCATTACCATAAAAATATAAAATAGAATTCAGTAGTCCCTATGTGAAATACAGTGCGTAGAATAAATGGATTTTGCTAATGAAATATGCAATTTTTTTTTTGCGCCATTTATTTTTATTTGTTTACCACTATGGGTCGAGTACTAACAGCTTGAAAATCCGCGACTAGAAATAAATTTTTTTTTCTTTTTATAAAATTGACCCATTTATTTCAGTGTACTGTATATATAATACGTACTTGAATCTTTTCAATCTTTATATACATACTTTAATCTTTTTTAAGAAAAATCAATTACGTAATTTCTAGTAAAAATGTTGTTACTTTTATATTAGTTTCCAATTTACTTAACATAAATAATATTATTTACAGATATGAAATTCCTTGGTACCTTATTCCTCTTTCTATGCAAAGACTAATAGTGATTCTGTTACAACGAAGTAACAAAATATTTGGTTTGAATGTCGGTGGATTGTTTATAGCATCTTTAGAATGTTTCGCCACGGTACAGAACGTTCTATGTTACAAAATTATGTATCTAATATATTGTCGTTTAATAAAAGACAAATCTCGATAATGCTTTTATATGTTACAGTTGATAAACGCGTCTGTGTCTTACTTTACTGTTTTGTATTCTGCAAGATCATAAATTATACTACTTTTATATCTGTTTTTATATCTATGTCATACCGTGATAACAGAAACAGTAGTCCATGCATTTTTGTCTACAAGATGATGCGTACGGCTCGAGACGTCTCAATAAAGTGAATTTACATGATCGGAAACTAAAGAACTGCGCTTGCGCGAATTTTACGTAACGCTTTTAGTCGCGGAGTTTATTCCTGCGAGAAAACAACATCTGTCTAATTTCTTTTGATATTTTATTCATTATTTAAAAAACGGATGCATCTCAGTCAAAGCAATAAAGTGCGAGTGTTACAATCGCAAAGAGAAGTATTGTCGCTTATTTTGCGCTTTGGCTTAATTAAAGAATATTATCTTATATCAAACACATATAGTGCACTTTATGTTACGATGAAAAAAACAAAGAAAATATTTTTTAGTCAAATAAATGTAAATGAAAACGAGGAAACGAAAACTTGTTTTTCTTTACATCCGTGTCATATGCGTTTCAGAGTCAGTAGAAACATGATTGATGTGAAAGATCGATATTTTAGTTTGAATCGAACTCTCTTGGTGGCACTTGGGTTATGGCCTTATAAAACCTCGAAAGTTGTCCAATTTCAATTAGGATTCTCTTATATTATTTTGACAACTTGTGTTNTATTTCAGGTGTGTTTTAATTAGACTTTTACTTTATAAAACGCCGTTACGTAAAAAATAGAGAGAGCAGTGTTGAAGTAATATCTTGCAATGAACTATGTTTACATCCGAAAAGTGAAATGTTACACAGGTTACACCATTTCTGACTTCAAAATTTACCATTGATGCTTTAATCGTAAATATGTCTGTTACGCCTTTTTTTATCAGCTTAATGATAAAATACAATTCTTTTTATGTTAACAGGAAAACAGTAAGTTCTATATTTGATGTATCAAATCTTCTATTAAACAAATCTATTTACATAATTAGTGATAATTACGATATTCCACACTTAAAACACTTATAATATTTTATTGCTACCATAGGTAAAATATTTAATAGAAGAACTTCAATGTACTTTTGATAATCTGAAAAATAATGAAATCGCCNTCATAGACATGTATGGAAATATTGGAAAACAATACACGGTCGGACTTACAAGTAAACTNAATTACTTGCAAGGATTTTGTAATATCGTACTTAAAAAAAAAAGTATTTTAACATAGTGCAAGAAAATGTTGCCTTTTTTATATTACTTTAATATAACACAATTTAAAAATAGTTTATAAATACATATGAATATATGTATTTAAATNATTTTAAATTTTTTAAAAGAAACATATCGTGCGTTTTATTATTCAATAATCTTAATATTTCGATCTGTGTGTAGTGCTTCTTGTAATTAGTTTAACTGTTATGACGATCAGTCAGTTATACTCGGATCTAGCTTACAGTCATTCATCGGTAAACATGTCACATGAATATCAACAATCGCAACTTGTAATTACTGAATATTTCATCGATCAAGAAAAATATTCGCGCTTCTTTGTACTCCATACAATCGTAGCAGTGTCCATAGGATTTGCTGCTATGGTAGCAACAGGAGCAACGCTTATTACGTATCTACAACATGCTTGCGGTCTGTTTAAAATTGCTAGGTAACAGAATAAACATAAACAACAATTAAATGTCTTATAAATTAAAACAATAGAAAATAACGTATGCTTATTCACACTAATATATAAAAATTTACTAATTTATTATTACATACAAACATAATTGTCTTACACTAAAATAATAAATGATACGTTTATTAGTATATTTAATATGATTGTGATATATGTACGCAATTTAATTTAAAATGTTATTTGTATTTCAAAAAATGCGGCCTTTGCAGTAAGTATTCTTTACAGCTTTCGTGTTAAACACATCATAGAAATGCATAAATACAAAGATAGTATTTTGGCAAACGAAAACTTGATACAAAAGAAGATAGTTTGTGCCGTAGATATTCATCGAAAAGCAATGATGTTTGTATCTATTGTATAATAAAGCACTTTCTCATTAGTGTCCCCTTATTATTTAGTACGTTCTAATTCCGCATTATAATAAAAACAATAAGGCATAAACATTTGCAGTTTAATTTTTTTGTTTTATAAAATGTTCCCGTTAGTTTGGTCGTACTAAAAAATCAAAACCTACACAGCAAAGTATATCTGAGATTTAAATCATATATCTCAGTGATATCTGACTAGTATTTACGCAATCAGATATTCTGATATATTTAGATATCTTCCAAATATCTTTATAATATATTTTGCTGTGTGAGAATGTATAATTTAGTGTCCCAAATACGACTTATTTAAAATTTTCTTTGCACTACAATTCTTCAAATTAGACGCTGGTTAGAAGAAGTAATAGTAATGAGAATTGTATAATAATAATAATTAATGTAGTAATTTTTTCTATATTTAAAGGTACGCAAATACTTTAATAGTTAACTTTGAAATATCATTCTTTTTTCTAATCATTTGTGGAGTTTTTACTTTGAGCTTCAGTGTTTTTCGAGTAAGATTTGTTGGTATTCAT